TACAAAGTAATTTCCGCATAAAAGATGAGAAACGATTATATAGTTTTGAATTATAAATACCGTAAACGATTTCCACTAACACACTTATCAGTTAACTTTAAAGTGTCCAAAGTTAACACCACTTGCACGGAAATATATGTAATATTTAAATCTCATTCCAGCATTTTAAGGACTCATACTAATCATCAAAATTAAAATAAGACAATTTAAATTATCCTTAACATAATACAACACAGCAATACAATCAAAATGAAACAACACCGGAGGCCTTCTCTAATGAATGAATGAATGCATTAATTCACTTAACATCTTTCCATTGAGTACTAAAACCAAAACAACAATTTTGGATATTATGTCCCACCCATTCATTTTCAGAACGATATTAATATTCAAGTAGTTCTCAATAGAATTTAGGCACCAATTATTTCCCTGTTCAGACTACAATTAAATCCTCTCGAGCTATCAGGATGTCATGTAAACAGTTTTATAGGAATGTAGACAGCTGATGTGGTTTGGACACCTGGGCAGATGTCAGCTGATAAGGCAAGGTGAGAGACGACAGTGATGTTATCTGCAAGGCCCTGACTGATATCAGTGTTTGTAGGCTAAACACACACACGAGCTGCAGAACAGCGCGGGGAAATGAGCGTGAAAATTCCCACCAGGGACTCTTTGTGTAGGAAAATTAGCGTGAAAAGTTTACAGGTTCTCCCTGTGTAGGGAAATGATCGCGAAAAGTCCCAAAGGCACTCCATGCTTAAAGAAATGGGTGTGAAATGTCCCACAGACACTTTCTGAGTAGGGAAATGAGCGTGAAATCCTCACCAGGGACTCTCTGTGTAGGGAAATGAGCGTGAAAAGTCTCACCAGGGACTTTTTGTGTGGGGAAATGAGCATGAAAAGTCTCGCCAGGGACTCTCTGTGAGGGAAAATGGACATAAAAATTCCCACCAGGGACTCTTTGTGTAGGGAAATGAGCGTGAAAAGCCCCAAAGTTTCTCCCTGTGTAGGGAAATGGGCGTGAAAAGTCCCAAAGGCTCACTCTGTGTACGGTAAAAAGAGTAAAATGACCCACAGGACTCTCTAGGGAGGGTAATGGGATTGAATGTACCACAGGCTATCCCTTAGTAGGGGAATTAACTAAAAATTCCCCACGTAGACAAATTAGCAGCAACATTCCCAAATCTGACATGACGTCAGACGTCACGATTGCAGATCACGTGTTTCAAATCAAATTTAAATACCTCTACGAGGTGGAGGTTAATGATTGTGCTGAGCTTGCTAAAGTGGACTGGTCGACTGTGACCTGCAGATTGTTTAGTCAGGTCTATTGATTTCAAAGAAAACTACGTTATCAAAATACTGGGTTTAATGTCGTACCTCCAAAAATTCAGAGACGTAAAGTTTTAAACAATTATTCGGCTATCTCGGGATGAAATACGATAACGATAAATATTTAACTCAACCGTGAGATAAAACAAGCAATTGTACAACAAGAATTTACTTTTTTCCGTTATTGTATTGATTTATTTCATAAGACAAATTAAAGATTAATATGGAAGGTAATTTAGATATGGGTCCCCACCGTCCAGTTGTCCATCAAGCTATTTGGTCGTAATTCCAGTTGACCGTCGTTCCAAACGATCGCCAAACAAACGGCTTGTCGACAAAGTGGTCCTTCGTATTTATTATTACATTAAAACGACAATCAACTGGCGTGACGGCCAAGTTAACTGTCGCACAAATAATGTACTCTCATATATATAGATGAATAAAATAAATAAACAACGTGATTTAATTAAAATATCTGATTAAGATATGAAGAGCCACATATGGCAGTAAAATTAGATAACCATATCGCACGTAAGGGAATTACTTATGAAGTTTGCACATCTGTCGTGCAAATGGTATTCGGTAACTTACCGATTTCGATTCTAATACATAATCTGTTGTAATAATCGCATAAAATATATTCCTCTATGAATACAAAGTGGAGCCAGACAAAATAATACAGTTTTATTTCTACGTAACCTAAGTAAGAGTTCTAATTTGGGTATGTATAGAGTTTTTATACCTAATTTTTATATTACCAGAAAAGGGCCTATGAAATTTTATTTTGTTTCTCAACCTAACATTGAATCCTGATTAAAAGCATCACAATTATTTACATTGCATGCCATCTAATATAGCCAAATATTCATGATTTAATTTTACAGTTAGTTTCTGTCTTATCTTAACATATTCAATTAAGATTAATATAAAACTTTAAAACTCGGTTCTTTTGATTTTCGCTTGTATATTACTAAAATATGTTTAAAATCTCGAACACTTTCTAATATAAAATCCAGACGACCACCAAACAACAAACTAACAACCCTTTTACACGTCCGAACAAAGTAATAAAGTATCATATTTTCTACAGACATTTTTATTGGAATTTGAATATTGAAAAAATATACTTACAATATGCTACAGACGACAAATATTCTGGAAATTTTGGGACGACGAAAAACTTATAGGTTGACCTGAATCAAACCAGTTGTTGCAGAAGAATCTGAGTTCGTTGACATTCAAAGGCAATTAAAATTCTCCAACGAAAAAAAATCACGATTGCTCTGAAATGCTAACTTGCTAGACTACGTGTAGCTATGATTTCAACCAAACAACATTTTAACAATATTTTGACGCAAAGAATCGGCTTATGTAATTAATATATAGATCATCCCTATACACGTGTTATTGTAAACCTTGATAGTAAGTCAACCTTGATACCAAGTCTTATTTGAAAATCCCCTTGAGATAGTCTACATGTTATCGAGGTTATATTGTATTAATGTTAAACAATGTTCTATCATCATGACATTCGATAAATTTGTTTGAAATGTGCTTATGGATAAGCCATGTTATCAGGACAACAACCGATTTATTTTTAATATATCCTTCAAATTTAAACAATTGAATTCCGAAAATTAAAAGGAAGGGCGATATAAGGGAAAGTTTTCGTCATTGAAATTTAATAGAATTTACGATGGGATGTAAACTCAAAAACTTCTCCAGCACATGTAAGGTTTAAGGTTGCACAACCCTACATAGTTTGTCTGTTTGTTCCTGACACGATAAGATCAAATAATTAGCAACCTGATAATTCCGGTCCCACCTTATACTGTTGGTCCACCTATTTTGATAACGTAAGAAAGTATAGGTTCAGCTATATTTCCACACACTATAAAAATACCCATTTGTTTTATTTGGTTTATTGATTTAATAGACGTAATAGATAATTTTGACTTTGGAATACTGAAGCGGTAGCCTAATATAAGTGCACCAGTTGTAGCCGATTTCATTTTAAAAGAACACAGTCTAACATTATATTTACCCTATTAGTTTTAAGGAATTTCCTAAGGGAGTAATCTTTTACTGTAGGTCTCATGGCAAAGTCTCCGGAACCGATTTACTTTTCGTTTTGACTTCCCTCAAGGCCAAAAAACGCCAACAGACATCGTTTAGGTGTTCGTTATCACAATAACTCGAGTGAAAAATTTCCGATTCTGATGGAATGTTTGGTACAAACTTGTAAACCTACAATTTGTAAACGAGTTCGCGAAACAGTGTATGATCGGACTATGGGAACTTTCAACTGTGGGAATATTTAAGGAGATAAAAAATAGGGTTTCCCTATCCCCCCCCAAACATAAAAAATATGTAGATTTAAATTCTTTACGTTATTATAACGGAGAAAACGTTTACTGTTGTAGTTTGCTTGTTCACGGATATATTTTTGATCAGATTTCGTAAATGTATTTACTTTATAGTAAACTATTACCTTCCCTGTGGCAGGGAACCTATACACTGTTCTTACAAATACCTACTATCGTAATTTCAGATTAAGTATTAAATCGACGGTTGAGAATTATTTAATACACGTTTTCCTAGATGGAGAACATAGCGGACGTGCAACCCATGGTTTGCTCATTATATTGTTTACATTAACGTCGTTCAAGTACGAATGTGACATAATATCACGGACGCGATAATGTCTAACACCTGCGATTGTTGTTAAAGTTCATTGTTTCGAGTTACCTAACATGGTTGAAAATTTGACACACCCTGTAAAATTGGCAAATGTAGACATTGGCGATGTTAACTAATCTGACAGTTTAACTGCTATTACCTTGTTTATGTTTTTAGTTATGACACGTTAAGTGCTAGTTTAATATTTTTGTTTATCGATTGTGGGGTGATATAGATAAGTGAAAAGGTAGCTTAACGAAACGATCGTAAATATCTTAATGGACATGAGAACAGGTAAGATTAACATAATTCACAAATCAAAATTTGAAAGTCGAGGTAATATTAGAGATGGAATTAGTTAGCAAAGATCTATTTTTTTTCAATAGTCTGTATGGTGGGACCTGTCTCCTGGCCCTTCGTCTGGGACTGGCATGGACCGTCACCAGGTAGACCTGGTCAGGAGACAGGTTCCACCATACAGACTATAAATTACCAGGATCTAATACCAAACATTATGCATTTTATGTAACAACAAATACGAACATTTTCATATTCCATGTTTATGTATGATTTGTAGCACAGATTAAATGGTCCAGTATAGTGTTTTTCGTTTTGTTTTTTTTTTTCTAACTGATACAAACAAACATAATGTGTTTACATAACTGATGATTGCTTAAAGATCGAAACGCGTATGCAAGAAAAACGTTTTCAAACTAGGCTCTAGCATGGCAATTTTTCCCACACCTTAACCTAAAAGATTGCGGCCTATCACTTAAAATATTGGTGATTTGCGGGATTTGAACACGGGACCTCGAGATCGAAGTACCGCTCTACCACTAGACCAGCTCGCTCCCAGAAAAAATGTAAGAAATACAATATTAGCCTATAGTTATTGAAAAAAACTGATAAATCCTACTGAGTCAAAAAAGAGTGTCGAATCAAATCACTGATATGTTTTATTCTAATACCTATATCAATACTCTACTCACTTCTTAGGTTCAACAATATTGAGCAGTTCCGTGGGAGACGTGGGTACCCTCCGGATCGTCAATTTCTTCCCGTCCGTGGACCCCATCCCGATGGACGCCAGTGACCGGACCGACACTACGTCACTCAAGGGACGTCCCATGGTCGACGAAGGGTCCGGGAAGGTAAAGCTCGCCCAGGAGGCGTTGCACCGAATCTTCCCCAGCTCTGCAGGTCCTCTCAGAGATTTTAGACTCGGTGACATCCTCACGCCAGGTTCCCTCGGTCTGACAACGTCTGGTCTTCTTTTCCCCGAACTCATCGCTCGTTTCCTCGGGGGAGTCCCTTTTCCGTCGCTGGAGTCACTGCTAGTACTTCCCACCGTCACTTGAACTTGAGCTCTTCCCTCGCTTTTCCCCAGAGGTACTATGACTATTTTCTGTGACGGTCCCAGAAGAGGTCGTTCTTCCGGTTTTCCCAGGACGTTCCGAGGAGTCCTAGGGGTCGCTGATGGTGAAGGAGGTGGTATCTTCCCGTTTTTCATCTCCGGAGCGATTTTCAACTGAGTCAAATTCTGTGTGTTCCTCGGAGTCAATTTAGGCGTTTGGATCGATTCCGCTAATTTTGTGACGAAGTCGGTCTTAATCGAATCGTGAATCTTTTTCGAAGATTTTGGTGAGTCCGGCAGCTCGGGGATTGTTCTGTTCTCTTTGGAGTCGTTCATGACGGCGTGGTTGGATGACATGTCTACGATTTGTCAGATGAACATCTCGTCTTGTCGACCGCACTAAACACACGGACGCGCACTCGCACACTGCGCCGCGAACCGCGAGATGGCAATGGCACGACGGTCGCGAGTTTGAACTGCAGCCGCGCCACCTGACGGCCACTGCTACCAACTGTCTGCACCGGCGACTAAATTCCCTGCAAAGAGAAATTCCCTGCAACGATAAATTTTCTACGAAAAAATTCCCTGCTACGACAAATTTCCTGAAACAATAATTTCTCTGCAACCATAAATTCCAGATTTCCTGCGTCGACAAATTCCCTGAAGTGACGAGTTTCCTCCTTGCTACAGTAACATATTACCTGCACCGATAAATTTTCTATGTGTTAGCACATTGCAGTCAATCAAAATAATTGTTAGTATGTAGGGCTGTTGGATCGCAAAAAAGGGATAATCTAGGGCACACTTTTGGGATGGCAAGATACGCAGTCCTGGCGTTTATAAATACGATGAAATCTATTATAAACCAAACATTCGCTAGATAACTCTCTCTTTCTTCACAAGGTGATGTTAATCAATCCGGAATTTCAGTAAATTGGACTACTTTTTACCCTCAAGCTTCTAACTTGAATTGTTTTCCACATTACTTCACGCTTTGATGTGTTCGCAGCGTTATCACTTATACATAATAATCATTGGTGATCGGCAGGATTTGAACCCGGCACCGCGGAGACCGGAGTCCCGTGGGGTTTCTATTTTATCTGATAGATAAATAAAAAATAATTATACAAACTGAAAGAGAACTCTCCCCTCCCCTGATCTAGCACGTGACAGTAAAAGACTGAGAATATACACAAGGAGCGGGTGATGGTTGATATCATTGCTACCTCGTTCTGTTCTCCTGGTAGCGTTTGATTCTTCAGTGCCGAACTGTGGCAACTTGCGGCACCGGGTTTGTTGAGCCCAGAACACACACAATCGTGCGAGTAACGATGACGCTCTTTTGTGTATCTTACTAATAAATATATTCCCGAGCCCGAGTATTTGGCCAAACTGCGATAAAAACCTAACTAGAGACATCATTGTCTGAAATTCGAAATTCATTGTTGTTAGTTAACCTTTAGGTTAAACTAAACTAAATTTAAATCTCCCCACCGCAGCACACCTGCAGACCAAATAGATTTCCATTTCGTAGCATTTTAAATCAAGTTGGTTAAATCAAAGTTAAATCAAGTGGCATTACTTAAAGTTGTCAGATTTATTTCCAATTTTAATAACATAAGCTTTAACGAGAATTTATGTTTGCGAGAACGAGTTTTTTTTAATTAAATGTAAATAAATAGCTTGGTAGTAAACACATTTACCAAGTTTGAACAAAAATTATCCATAAACAAGCAAACTGCAACAGTTAAATGATCCTAATTAACATGAAACTTTTAAATTTACGTTTTTTTTTTAAATTTTATCCTTTAACTAAACTAGACATACAAATATACAGTACTAAATAATTTATCAAACTCTACAAATTGGCTAAGAAATAAACTACGGTTTTATGTATGATTTGAAGGAACAAAATGGGAACCCCTAATTTTACTCCTTAACCCCGTTACTATAGTCCGATCATGCTGGTTCGCGAACTCTTTCGGAAAAAAAACCAGGTTTTCACGTTTTTATAAAATTTAATTAAACAGATTATTGTGCTCGATAATTTGAGTAGAAATCATCCGTTTTAATCATGTTGTAAATTGAAAATTTATAAACGGATAATTTTTCCCCTTCTAGGGGCCACTAACTTAATTATTACGAGCCAAACATTCTGAGATAACGCAGCTCTACGCGAACGCTAATTTAAAAACTTGGAGCCCGCTCAATTTGTTGTAAATCTCCGGAGAAGTCGATGACGACGGCGAGGAGTGGTCAGTCAGGGTGGACAGAGCGACGACTCCTCACTCCCACTGGCGATGTCCAGTCGACCGGTCAGCCAATGAGAGAGCCGCTAGAGGGCGTGTGGCGTGTGGGGAGCCACTCCGGACCTACTGTGCCGCAGCTGGTATCAGGGTAGCAGAGCGTAGCAGAAACGTTGTGTCACGTAACAGCTGATCGTGTTAACCCTACCATTCGTATCGTCCACCATTCATAAAACAGACTGGTTAATCATAATAGTTTGTTTAAATTAAAGTGATCGGGGATGAATTTAGCTGCTGTCAATGAATAAGGTTTGTGCGGTTTTCGTTGGTCACATGAAGGCCCCATCCCTGACCGCCTTCATTAGAGCTTAGACCTTTTAATTTTTATACTATTTACTGCCTGTTTTTGGCAATTATTTGGTGTGACGTAGACGATTTAGGTTATTGTATTATTTCGGCTATTGTGTTTAGTGAACTGTAGTAATATTTACTACATCTCACCCACAGTTTACGAAAATATTTTTAAAATATCTAAACAAATAAATCGGAATTGGAGAGGGGCCATATCATTTTAAATAGCTGGGGACGAAATTAAAGTATTGTAATCCAATTATGAATGGAAGATTAGTATAAATAAGATTTTTTTAACATTTTCAGCGACGAAGGAGATCAGATTTTTCTTTGTACAGAAAGAATAATTGTTATTACTTTAACAGCTCAATTTGGTTAATATTTTAAACCATAACCTATCCCTTCTTTCTTCTTTCAATGTTTTATTCGCCTAATTTAAACGACCTAATTTTTTACAAATTGTTCGTAACTTGCGAAAAATATTCAACTCTAAGTATATACGTATTTATCATAGTACTGCTCAGTAGGCATTCCTGCATTGTTCACAAATTCAACAGAATAAATGTTCAAACGTAAAACTGTACCTGTCTAATGATTACACACGTACAACAATAGAGGCTGCACTGTGGTTTTGAACGCCCCTGGCAGGGACCAACAATGTGGGTTACCCGCCAAAACTCGCCGACCCGGGGTTCCTACGCCCTTATGCTGCCTGGCTCTCCAAACATTGTCCGTTATGAATTATAATGCACACGTCATATATGAGTGACACATCCCCTCCCCCGCAATACTCAATGTACGCGGATCATACCCGTTTGTCGCTGCCATTCCTTACACACAATCAATTTAATTAAATCTTTAAGTTAAGTATCAAATTGATAATTTTCACAAATTCAATTATTTTTACTGAATTAAATCGTGAAATGCATTGTACGATTGTAATTTAAGAATCAATCAACTTATAATTCTGTTTGGTTATTTTAAGTTTAAAAATAATTAAATATGATATTTTTTACAATTTTAATAGATTTTCTCATAAGTTTTCTCATAAGGGTGGTTCGGTGTCATTTAATTATTGCAGGTATGTTTATATATATATATATATCATGGGTATGACCAGTGTGACTGGTAAGATCGTTGGTCAGTTAGTTGACCACGTGAGATGACAGGGTGGGGGGAGTGGGGACTGTCAAAACATTACAAAACGTCACAATTCCATCAACACTGCACGCCGGGTATCAGGAGAGCAGAGGGTGGTAGGTGCCTGGCTATTGCCTCGCCGCTGGGATGCTGTGATGTGGTGGTACAGCTGGCTCAGCTATTCTATACAACATACCAATTTTTAAAGCTTTCTCTAAATCGTGAACATTTAATTTATTTTTCTAGTTATATTCTTATTTTGGTCCCTAGTAGGAGCTACTACTAGGGACACAAATATTAATTTTGTAGCCTCCATAATATTTTAATTTTGGACCGAAAAACTTAATCATGTGTTATCTTTATTTAAACAACAGGGATGAAATTGGATCATCTAGACTATTATTTTTGTCCATGTGAAAATATTTTTAATAAATTGAGAACGTATTTTTAATGTAGTGCTTGCCATGACCAGGCGATTTTTTCAGTGTTTTTCACAAAGGACATTCTCACTGTTCGATGCCTTTGTGGCTTGGCTTTTGATTTTATCCAAATTGTATGACAATTTAGTTGTTTAGTCTATCGACTCGGTAAAAAGGAGGTGTTCAAGACACATTGTGGTGCAGGAGCGGATAAAAAATATTCCGATCGTGCAATTTAGTAAATTCTGTCGATGAAAAGATCAGTGAACTCGAGTTTTAGTGGTCAAGATCGTAGTAAGTTTGCGTATCGGATCATGAAAACATCACAATCTTATTATATCATATTATTTATTGACACCGGTAACGCAACTTCATTTCCCTCCTTTCACAAAAATAAAAAAATAATAGAAAATAACTCAACTGTTTCGTGTTTCGCCATAAAACAATGTCGAATACCTTAGTTTCAAAACCACAGTGCCAAAAAATTAGTGTAAAAAGCGCCTTAAATCCTAGTTTAATTATTAAGTAAGGCCTAAAGTAATTGTAAGGCCTAAAGGTTTTACCCAAAATTAAAATAAATTTTCTTTCATGAACTCTAAAAACACAACCTAACAATAAAACAGAATCTACAAACATTGCCGAAAGCTTGGCCATGCCCTTGCTCGTCTTTGCCATTGCCATTGCCATTGCCAAGGACCATGGACGTGGACGGGGGACGGTGTATGTATGGGCGAGGAGTGGTGGGGGGAGGGGGAGTTAGAGATGCGCATGCGTCGGAGTCAATGCCATGCGGCCGGCTGTCTGGAATTGGCGGTCTTTGTATCAGGGGAGCAGAGTGGTGCAGCAACCGACAACCTCGTACACTACTTGGCGCCTAGCAACAGCCGCGTCAGCTGTTACTCACACACACAAGCACGCGCGCTTACAATCCGGCGCGACACTGTATTGGTTTTTGAATTGAATACCCCTGACCATTGACTATACACCTCTAGAGGTGTATAGTCAATGCCCTGACGCAGCAAACATAGACTACAATTTTCTGATTGGATTTTCACTCAACTTTTCCCTTCAGTGTCTGATTTATTCCCTACTAGCAGAGTACCTGTCCTTCGTACGGGGTTGGCGTATAAGAATAAAACTAATATTGCAGTTATACTCGAGCTTTGCGTTTTCAATGGAAGGGGACACGGTTTAAGAAAATTTAGTTCTTTTAATTTACAGTATACAGTACTATAGTATAGCACATCTACCATAGCTATAATGATCTACCGCTGCACCTAAAAAATAATAAAGTCCTCA